ATGGTGCAATTTGAAACGTTTGATGAAAAGGGTTTTTTTTTCAACAGTGGCAGCAATTATTTAAAAAAAAATAATAATAATAATAATATTTATCGAAAGTTGTTTGTTTAATTACACGACTATTAAAATCCGACATTTTTATTTTATTAAAAAAAAAAAAAAAATTTAAAAATTTGTCACGTGTTCAGGTTGTCGCGTACCTGATTTAATAAAAATAAATTTGTTTTTTTTTTTTTTTTATAGATAACAAATAAAAACTTCAGGTAGCTTTTTTTTTTTAAAACCGTGACACTATCAATCACGTTTTTTTCTCTCTCTCTCTATCTCTCTTATCATCTTTTAAACGTGGTATTAATGCACTATCGTGGAGGTAGCCGGTTAATTTATTTATTTTTTAAATGGCGACAACTTTTTTTTTAAACTAATAAAATAAGACAAGACAATCAAATCAATTACATTCGTCCGTCGGTCGGTACTAGAATGATTTTTTTTTTTTACGATCCTGCCACGTTTTTTTTACATGAGTCTAAAGACCCGACAATACGATAAATTTTTTTTTTGTTTTGTTTTTTTCTTGAAAAATGGGTGCGGTCGAATATCAAAGAAACCGTTTCGAATTTTTTTATTTATTTATTATTATTATTATTTTTAACGTCCGACCATCGATGATGTTATTTTGACGTTTAGTGTTTAACCACCCGCCACCCCGCTCCCTCTTTTCCCCGCCGTTGGGCCTCCCTCCGGCACCGTTTTTTTTTTTTTTTTGTTATTTATTTAATTAGCGGTTGAAAGAAAGAAAGAAAAGAAGGAAAGGGAAAAAGAAAATTTTTATTTTTTATTTGACTTTAAAAGCGGTTCATGAATTTTTTAAATGAAATGGGGGAGGGGGAGGAAGAGGGGGTAAAAGTTTTTAAAAAAAATTTAAGGGAAAAAGTTGAATGAAGAGTGAGGAGAGAGGGAAGAGAGAGAGAGAGAGAAAAAAAATTTGAATAAGACTTTTTTTACTACTTACATTTTAATGTAGGCGGCCTCGATTCTTGCACCACCGACGCCACCGCCGCCGCCACCACCACCACCACCTACCCCACGAAAACTTTTTTTTTTCTTTTCTTTATTTTCTATTACGCTCCATCTTGTTTTTTTTTCTTTTGTTGTATATTCGAGCCGTTTGAAAATTCTTTCCTCATTTAAATTATTTATATATATGTATACCCTTGTTTCTAATATTTATTCTAGTTTCTTAATTTTTTTCCCCCACCCTCCTCCTCCTTTTCCTCCTCTTTTCTTCTTGTATTACCTTTTTATAATTTTCATTTTTGGCCCGCGCTCCCCACCCTCTACTTTAACCGACAACCCATTACTTTTATTTTTTCTTCTTCTTGTTCATCTATTATTATTCCTTAGGAGTCTTTTTTGGATCTAATACTATTTCTCTCTGTCTCTCTCTTTCTTTCATTTTTGAATGCTAAAAACGATGGGAAAAAATTTTTTTTTCTTTTCTTTTCTTTTTTTTTTCTTTCTCTGTTTTTTTTGTTCGTTTTCAGTTAAGTTGTAAACTAAAAAAAGTAATTACTTTCATTCAAAAAGTTTTTTTTTTTTTTTTTTTTTTTATAAAAAAAAAAAAAAAAAGATTTATTACAATTTTCAAAAAAAAGAAAAGTTTTTCCGCTCCAACGTGTAAAAAAAAAGGGAAGTGAAGGGGAGAGGGGGGAAGAAAGATGAAGATGTAGTAAATGATGATGATGAGAGAGAGAAAAAAAAATTTCGTTGCGTTTTTGCATTAATTTTTTTTTTTTTCCCAAAACTAAATTTTCTAATCAAATTAAAAACTTTACAAAAAAAAAAAGAAAAGTTGTTTTAATTATTCAAAACCTTTGTTTTATTATTATTATTATTATTATTATTATTATTATTATTATTATTATTATTATCATTATCATTGAGTTTTTATCTTTTTCGAAAAAAAAAATGTTTTGTCGTTTGTACGAATTATTTTTTTTTTAATTACAAATACGGATGATTTTGTTTCTGCGTTGCTGCTGCCACTTTTGTTTTTGATTTGTCACCTAAAACAACATCATTATCATCATCATCATCATCATTATTATTATTTAGAAAAAAAAACGTTTTTAAAGCGAAAGACATCATTTCAATCAGGCGTAGGGAAATAGTCAGGCCGAGAGAAAGGGACAAACGAAGGAGAAACAGAGAGAGAGCGAGAAAAAGAGAGAGAGTAAAAAAAAACAATAAAAACCTGAAAATTATTTATTTCATATCATTATTATTATTATTATTACTTTCCGAGTAGGAAATAAAATAAGAAAAAAATGTTTTTAAAAAATTTGGAGAAAAAAAATGGCCGACTTTAAATAAATTCGATTTCACATTTTTGACGTATAAAAATTTAAACGGGGAGGAGGGAGGAAGTGAAGGAGAAAGGGAGGGAGGGGAAGGGTATACAATCGTATAAATATATATATATATATATATATATATATATATATATATAAGTATATAAAATTTATGTCGAATGTGAAAAATCACAGTCTTTCTCTCATTCTCTTTCTCGCTCTCTCATTTTTTTTTTTTTATTTCTGCACCATTTTCTATTTTTATCTATTTTTCTTTCTTCTTCTTTCATCTATTTTTCTCATTCGTTTTCCATTTTTTTTTTTTTTTTTAAAGAGACAAATTAAATTTATGTTGTAATAAATAAAAAAATAATAATAATGATGATGATGATAATGGTAATAATAATTTTTTTTTTTTCAAACGTCTGTTAATCAAAGAAAAATAAGAGAGAGAAAGAGAGTGAGTGAGAGTAAGTGAGAGAGAGAGAGAGAGAGAAAAAAATCAATTTCAGATGACAGTGATAGGCTTATCAGTTTTCGCAGACTTTTCCTCCTTTTGAAAAATACAATTTTTTTTTTCCAAAACCGTATACGGAAGAAAGAAAGTAAAAAAAAAAAAAATGACAAAAAAAATGACAAAAAAAATGGAAAATAAAAAAAAAATAATAAAATAATAATCGGACGCCATTTTTTTTTTTTTTATTTAAAATTTTTAATTTGTCACTTTTGAAAAGCGGAGGAGGAAAAAAAATAAAATGATCGATATTATTATTATTATTATTATTATTATTATTATTATTATTATTTAGTATGAGTATAATTATACGGTTATCGTTATCGATGATAAATAATATGGTTTGCGAACAATCGGAATGTTTTTTTTTTTAGATAATTATCATCCGAAATGGATTTGTTATGCAACACAAAACATTTTTAAAATTATTTTTACGGGATTAAATCGAGGTTAATTGGCTGTTAAAAATAAAAGCCTGGAACGCACACCCGCACCCGAACACACGCGCACGCACAAAGACACGCGAAAAAAAAGAGCAAAAAAAAAGTAAAATAAAAAAAGTAAAAAAAAAATACGAAGAGGTGTTGAATGACGAACGAACGAACGAACGTGGCACTAACGAACAAACAAACAAACAAACAAACATACGAAACAATTCCATTCTTCTTTCCGTTTTTTTTTTTTTTCCTCTTTTGTTGGCAACGATTCGACATGTTAATAAACGATTTTATAATTTTCTAAGGTTTCTAAATTTTCATTAATAAACGATTTACTACTATTAACCGTGTTAATAGTAATTACATCCCTCGGGATCATCCGCTTGGATAAATGTTGCCGTAGTCGTCGTCGTCGTCGTCCTCGTCGTCTCTCGCGAGAATTATTATTATTATTATTATCATCTATCAACCTTTTTTTTTATTTATTAAATAAATAATAAAAGACTGACGGGTTCGATTCCTCTTTAATTTTTTTATTTATCTGCTCATCTCTTATTTTTATTATTATTATTATCATCGTTGTTATTAACACGCAATTCAGGGAGAGAATCGAAGAATGATTGAAATTGTTGCTGCTGATGGTGTTGAATTTTTGTTTTTACTAAGAAAACCAAAAGAAGAAGAAGAAGGAAATCTCGAGAAAATTAAAAAAAATAATTTTTTCTGATATTTTGGTTTTTGACTAAAATAGAAACAACAACAACAAACTTTTATTCTCCAGGTTTTTATTTCCTGTTTCCGGTTATCGATTAGTATTATTATTATAATCATTATGTGCATCTTTTATAGTAGGAATTAAAAAAAAAAACAAAAATGGTGCGGAGGCACTAAGAAGTATTTAATCATTAGTTAATTAAATGAATAAATAAAGAAAAAAGTTGTTAAATCATAGAGTAAATAATAAAATTACACCATTCTTCCCTCCTCTCCCTTCCGGGTTTCAATGTGTTTATTTACTCTACGACGTGTGAAAAACGCGGGGAATTTTTTTTTAATATTGACGTTGTTATTATTATTATCATTATTTAAGTTTAATAAAAAAAAAAAAAAAAATTTCTTCGGAGTTGCGTTTTTGTTTTTTTTTTTTTACTCTATGGAAAAGAAGTGAGAGAGAGAGAGTGGAGGAAAGAGTGGGAAAATAATTTTGTAAAAGTTTTTTTTTACATGCTTTAATATAAATCGTGATTTTTTAAATTACTCAAATCTCCGGTTTCTCCTCCTCTCCTTTTCCCCCTCCTCTCCTTTTCCTCCTCCTCTTTCTCCCTTTTCGCCTCATAATTACTCTGTAGATTCGCGTTCCTGTGGAGGCCTCATATTTTTTTTATGACTTTTTTACTTCGTATTTATAAAAAAACAACCGACACAGCACAGTGTTGATGACCAAATAATGAACCCGAAATGTAATTTTCAAGCTTTCGCCACCGCTACCGCTACCACATCCGCTGTTGTTTCTCCTGCCACGAAGAGAGAGAGAGAGACGAGAGAAAGAGAGTTTCGTTTCATTTTTCTCCCTCTTTCACCCCTTCCTCGCCCTATTTTTTTTTATTTTTTTATTATTTTACTCCAGTAAAAGTTGTAAACCGTTTTATTATCATCATCATCATCATCATTTGAAGAAAAATTATCTGTCATTAAAAAATGGGAAGAAAATCTCAGTTTTTTTTTTTTTGTGTGTTTTTCTCCAGAAATTACATCGTTTATCGCACACTCTTTTTAATAAAATGGCGAGAGAAAGAAAAAAGAAAAGAAAAGAAAAGAAGGGGAGGGGGAAAACAAAACAAAAAAATTATTATTATTATTATTAATAGAGAAATGAATATAAATTCACGACGTCAGGTTTTCTTTTGCTCTTTTTCTTAACACTTCTCCTCCTTTTTCATTCCCTCTCCCTCTCTCTCTCTTTCCCTCGCTGTCGTATATATATATGTATAAAATTTTTTTCATTTTTTATTTTATTTATGAGAATCGTGGAAGAAGAAGAAGAAAAATTTTTTAAATATTTTTTTCATAAAAAAAAAAGGAAAACAACAACAACAAGTCGTCGAGTGGTTGGCAGGCAAAGGGGCAAGCTAGCAAGCAGGCAGGCCGGAAACCAACAGAGAAGCAGACGATGATTATACACGAATATCGAGTGTGAGAGATTTTTAACTAATTGCCGCCAAACCTCTCCCCAACTCCCCCTCCCCGCGGGGGGTTTTTCAAATAACCCCAGGATATACATCTAATTTTCTTTCATCAACCGTTTATGCATTCAGGAGTTATCGCCGCGTATTTATTTAATATTTATAAATTATTCGTTCGGATTCTTTTCGCGGGTTTTATTTGTTGTCACGTGGCAAAAACAAAAAGTTTTTTTTTTTTTTTTAAATAGTTGTTAACCTGTGGATTTTTTTTTAATTTACTTCATTTTTCTATAAATAAATCGTGGAAAGCGTGCGCTATATCTGTATGTATTTTTTTTTTTTTGAATTCTAATGCCACGATTAAGTTAATTTAAACATAAATTTGAATTTTATTTTCCATAGAGTATTTAAAAAAAAAGAAAAAGGAAATTTAATTTATAAATTATTGTTATTCGTTTTATTATAATGACGCAGTACTTATTTTTAAATGTAGATGGAGTTAATAACAATAACAACAAAAACAACAACAACAACAATAGTTTTATTTCTTTTACGAATGCATTTGCAAATACGAAGTAGCAAACAAACAAGAGAGAGAGAAAGAGAGATAATAACGTATATAAAGAGAGAGATATTAAAAGAAATATTTGCACCTGGTTCACGTTATAAAAATTCTACGCATAAAAAAAAACGTCGATAATAAACTCGAGAATCAAATTTCTTTAAATATGTACTATATAGACTATTTTATAGACTATAATTTTCCTTTTTTAACTCTTAAAAAAAACTCTATAAAGAAAAATGCGCGCGTAGTTATTTTGTTAGTCATTTCCGGTAAAGATTAATAATCGAAAAGGAAGAAAAGGTTAAGCGGATTGAATTTTCTTCTTCTTTTTTTCCTTTTTTTTTTCTTGGACGATTTGTTTCGATTGATGATGATGATGATGATGACGACGACACAGAGATTTCGCCGCGTTTTTTGTCGATCGATCATAATTCGAAATGAAAAATTACACAATGGGATTAAATTATTGGGGTCGATTTAAAGCTCCTGCTGCTGCTAACTTTCGAAAAAAAATTTTATAGTACGATTCGAAATTCTTTCTTTACTTACCTACCCCCCTACCCCCTCATCCCGGGCCGTCTTTGTTTCCTTTTTTCCTGCCTAAGGTTAATTTTAAAAAGAATTCGAATGGATTCGAATAGGAAAAAGGTTTTAGAATAAATTTTCACACCTCTTGAGATGTGAAACCGCCCCGAAACAGAAAAATGTCTCGAAGCGATATTATTCCTCCCCAAGGCGATAAAAAAACGAAACGTCACAATAATAATAATAATAATAACGCGCGTTTTTTTTTTAAAATTAACAAGTCACATGACCTTAACACAAAAAAAAAACTAATCGTAACTAATAATTTATTTAATCGTAAAAATGTATACATATTAATGAAAAAGAAAACTTTTTTTTATAAAAAAAAAAAAAAAAACACTAATGCCACGTAAAAAACTAAATACATGCAAACAAACAAACGAACAAACAAACAAACGAACAAACAAACAAACAAACAAACGTATCGAACGAATGAATTTTTTATAATTTACCAAAAAAAAAAAAATTAAATTAAAAAAAAAAAAAGAAAACTCGTTAGTATTAATTAGTTTATTATTATTATTATTATTAACTTTTTTTTTTTTTTAAATTTTTTTAAGGCGTGACTAATTATTACTTGAACAACAACAACAACAACAAACCGTACAAACCGAACAAACCGAAAAAAAAATCAAGATTCGTAAGATTTAAGAAGCTAAAAATAAAAAAAAAAAAAGAAGCAGTAGTAGTTAAAGGTCACGATCTACGAACCTGAAACCTACTAAAAAAAAAAAAAATTATAGACGTCTATATAAACGCGAAACTACTTTAATTTTTTTTAAAAGGTGCGTGCGTGCGTGCGCGTTAAAATTTACAAAAATAAATTATCGATAAATTGTGAAATTTTATTGTTTTCACATCGAAAAAAAAAGAAAAAAAAAATTCCGACGAATTCCGACACAAAAAATTAAAATTAAAATATTATTATTATTATTATTATTATTATTATTATTATTATTATTATTACTATTATTATTACTATTATTATTATTTTTAATATTTATTCGTAGCCGCAAAAGATTTAATTCCACGACGTGTTTTTTTTTTTTAAAAGGGGATGGGAGTGGGTGGGTGAGGGTTAAAATCGTGAAATATATTTGAAAAAAAAAAAAATTTAAATATGGCGTCACGCAATGACCGTTTTCGTGCCCCCCAACAATCAGTCAGTATAAAAAAAAAAAACAACAACATAAAAAATTTGTTTACCGTTAAACGACGACGACGACGACGTGTTCGGTCCGATTTTTCCTTTTTTCCTTTTTTTTAACAGGAAAAAAATTATTATTATTAATTAAATTTTTTTTTTTTTTTTTTTGAAAAAATGAACAACGGAATCGAAAAAAATTTCCTTTTTTTTGTTCCGTTTGAGGGTTGGAAAGGAAGAGAAAGGAAGAAGGAGAAGGGGAAGGGGGAGTGAAACGAGAGGGGCGGGGGAGAGAAAAAAAAAGAAAAATTTACATTCAATATTTATTCGCATAATTTATGTGTACGATTTTAAATAGCTAAAGGGTTCGTGATGGCGGAGGGAGGGAAAAGTAAGGAAACGAAAGGGGGAAATGAGAGGGGAAGGGGGAAAGTGAAGAGAAAGAGGGAGAGAAGGGGAGGGGGAAAGGCGAAAGTGAAAAAAGTGTTAGAAAAAAATTTTAAAATTTCGTTTTGAAATTTTTTTTTTTCCGTTGTGTTGGTGGTGATGATTGTAGGAGTTGAAAGGGGAGTAGCAAAAGGGAAGTGAGGGGGAAAAATAATTTACGAGTTCAAAAATTTGACCTTGGGATAAAAAAAATATTTTGATAAGAATGATAACAAAATAATAAAAAAAAAGAAAACTTTCGGAAAACCTTTTAATCAACTTTCTTTTTTTTTTCAATAATTCCCGTAATAATAATGATAATATTAATAATAATAATGATGATGATGATAATAGTGATGATGATAATAATAATAATTTGTTACTTTGATAACAACACGACCCGTTTGAAATCTTTCCAGAACATAATTACTAAATATATAAATATAAATATAAATTTTTATGGCGCGATAAAAAAAATAAAAAATTTTTTTTATATATTTTGGAATCGAATAAAAAAAAGGAAAAAAGGAAAGAAAAAAAAGAAAAATATTTTTTCAAGGGTTGAAAAATCATTGGCCATTTTTATCCCCTAAAGCATTTTAAAAAGAATAAAAGATTGTGAAAAACAAGAAGAAGAAGAAGAAAACGAAAGAAGACGAAAGAAGAATAAGTTTTCTTTTTTTTTTGAGAGAGAAAAGTGAAAAAAAAATTTCAGAAAGTAAAAAAAAGAGAAAGAGAGAGAGGGAGATTGAATGAGAGAGAGTGAGTAAGAGAGAGTTAGAAAGAGAGAGAGAGAGAAAAAAGGAAGATATCTAAAACTTTTGTCGCACGAAAAAAAATAAAAAACTTGAAATAATTTTTAATTTTTTTCCTTTTTCTTCTTTTTCTTCTTTTTTTATTCTTTCGATTTTTATTTTCGTTTCTCTGGATAAAAACTGGAACGAAAAAGAAAATTTAAAAAAAATAATAATGATGATAATAATAAAATCCATTTGAAAAAAAAAGAGAAAAAAAATGGGATAAATGAGGTCGATGACGTACGTACGTAGGTACGTACCGGGGGAGGGGAAGGGGAAAGGGGAGGTGGGGTGCAATGCCGTTGTGCCTTTCGAAAAGTAATTTATTATTTAAAAAAAAAAAAAAATAGACTGGAAAGGATGGAAAAGGTTTGGCCGAAAGTTATAATTAAAGGGTGTCGGAAGGAAGGTTGTAGTAAAAAAAAAAAAAAAAAAGAAAAATATTCGCCATATAATAATAAATAACAATAATGAAGAAGAAAACTGTTAATTAATTTTCTGCTTTTTTTTCGTTTTGTTTCGTTTAGTTCCGTTCGCAATCGTAAAAAAAAAAAAAAAAAAAAAAAAAAAAAAAAAAAATTTTTTTTATTAACTTGACGTGAATCGTAAATTATTGAACGAAAACGTTGAAAATAATAATAATAATAATAATAATGATAATGATAATAATTTTCGAAATGAATTCGTTAATTAATAAATAACTACGAAGGTGACGTTGGTGATGATGACGATGATGATAATAATAATAATGATGATTAAAAAAAAAAAAAAAGTTTATACGTGTCCGGATGGGAATAGGATTTGGGAATTGGAGGGGGGGGGCTGATGGTGGTGGTGGTGGTGCGTTTGTCACACGTCACGAAGTCCAAGATTTTATTTTTAAATAAAAAAAAAAGTATTAATGTCATTGAAAATATATCCGGAGAGATTTTTTTTTTTTTTTTTACTCCAGAGGGAGATCCCGAAAGAGAAAGAGAGATAAAGAGAGAGAGAGAGAGAGAGAGAAATTTTAACCACGAAAAAAAAAATGGACGACGAGAGTTTTTTCCTCCAAAAAAAAAGAAAAAAAATTTCGATCGATCGATCGATGAGTGCCATTATTTAATTTTAATATAATTTTTCATTTTATTATTATTATTATTATTATTATTATTATTATTATTATTATTATTATTATTATTATTAATCCTAGAATTCCAGGAGACTTTGTAATATTTTTTTAACCTGGAAAAATTTTATCATTCGGATTCGCGTCGGATTTTACAAAGAAAATTTTTTTTTTGACAGGAAATCTGACGCGTTTTTTTTTTTTACGTCATCATTTGCCATAACCGGAAAACTAAAACCGGAACCGGAAATTAAATTTATGATTGTAATCGTATCGCCACCATCGCGGCGATGACGACACGTCAACGTGTTTTTTTTTTTTATTGTACTACTTCGCGAGTACCTGAACGTAATTTTTATAATAATATTAAATATTTCACTAAACGTTTTGAACCTTTCATCGACTTGTTCACCCCCCCTCCGCCTCCGTTTTTTTTGTTAACCTTTTTAACCTTTTCTTTCATTTTCGAGGTTTTTTTTTTTTTTTTTTTTATAAGTTTTTAATGCGTGTCAGGTTTTTTTTTTCCGGTAGAAAACTGTCAGATCTCGAATGTTGTAAATCAATCATAATAGAAATATAGTAGTGGTAGTAGCGTCGGTTCCGTTCTTGTTTTTAAGGGCTGCCGAGGGAGGAGGAGAGCGGTGGAGGAAAGAGGGAATGAAGGCGGTAGTAATCGAGAAATACGTGAAATTTTAAATTTTTAACCCCTCCCCCCTTTTTTCCCTCCTTTGAATCCCGGCGAAAAATAGAAATAAATGAATTTTATTGATTTTTTTTGTTTGTTTGTCTGTTTGCTTTTTTGTTTCCGCGTTTCTCTTTTGCTGTCGTTAATAATCAATTTAAATGATGTCGCGAAACTGACTTTGTAAGAATGATTTTGTTTTTCTGTTGCTTCTGCTTCTCTTTTCCCCTCGTCCCTTCCCCTCCTCTTTTCTTCGTTTCAAAAAATCGAAAAAATTTTAATTTATAACGACTCGATTTTATTTATTTTATTTTATTAATAACGTTGGCAAGACTGTTAAAAATTTTTTTTTTTTTAAATTAATGACTCCTACTACGATAATGATGATGATGATAATGATGACGATGATGTTTCAGACGTCAAAACTTTACCATCCGGGGTATGAATTTCTAACTTTTTTTTTGAAACGACTGAAAAGTTTTTTTTTTTTTAAATATAAAAAATGATTATCATCATTATCATTATCATCATTATCATTATCGTTGTCATTATCATCATCATTATTATTATTACCTTTATCGAAAAGTCGAAATTTTTCAAACTAAATTGACTTAATTTTAAGCAAGAAGAACTTGTCGAACCTTTTTCTACGTGAAACAACCTTTTTTTACCGCAACTTTTGCATCTTTTTTATATTTACGTACCGGAATTGAATTTGAAAGTTTCCGCGAATTTTATTTCTGTGCGTGTCTGCGTTTGTTTGTGGAAGGTTTAAAGTCAAAAATGATTATTAAAAAATTTAAATACATGCAATACGCGTGATTATAAATAATAACATTACTTGTGAGCTTGAGTATTTGTGTCGTCTGCTATTAAGGTCACCGGTTCAGCGTTTTTTTTTAGGCGCGTTTTTTACATGTTTTTTTTAGGGATGAATGAAATAAAAGAAAATAAAAAATTAATAACCCGTTTTTTTGTTTTTTTTTTTTCAAACAAACATCAGTGGTGCCGAGAGCACGCGCGTACGAAAAAGAACAAAAAAAAGTTTGTTTGTTTGTTAGTTGTTTGTTGTTGTTATTTTCTTTGAGATCCGTATTGAGTTTTTTATTTTTCTAACAAACAATCTTTTATCTATAACACAGAAAACTTTAAATTCGGCGAGGGTTTGTGTTTGTATGTGTGTATGTATGTACGCGTAGTACGCTTTTAGATTTTTCCTTCTTCTTCTTTTTCTTTTTATTCTTTCATCTCGTTTTTTTTTAATATACAACAATAAAAAAAAGGAAAGGAAAAAAAAAAGTTTGTTTTAGATTTCCTTTTCCTCGAGGCTTTTGTACATAACTTTTTTTTCCTTTTTTTCCTTTTTTTTTATCTCGATAGTTTTTTTTTTTGTTTTTAGTCATTTTTTTTTCTTCTCTTTTTATATTTTTAACATGTCGGTTTTGTTTTTTTTTTTGTTTTTTTTTGTAATTTCTATCGAACGGTGAAATGTTGTCAGTTTAGAGTCGAAGGGAAACAACAACCACAAAATTCGAAAAACTTGAAAGTTGATATTAAAAAGTAATAAAAAAAAAAAAAAAAAAAAACAACCGCCTCGTTATTACGATTCAAAAAACGTCGAAATAACTTTCATAAAAAAAAAAAAAAAACTTGATTTCATTTACCACGCAACATTTTTTCAATTTGGGTAACGTTTAAAAAAAAAAACGCGCGCGTTTTTCACGATTATCATTATTATGATCATTTGAATTTTCTTAAATAATTATTTTGTGTGTTGCGTTTGTAGGTGGCAAAACATATTTGAATTTGAAAACGATGTTAAAATGGCGGCGGATCCGCTACGATCTTTATTATTATTATTATTATTATTATTTAAAGAAAGAAAGAGATATGCTGAACATTTTTGAAAATTAAATTATCATAGTCATAATGATGATGATGATGATGATAATATAGAAGAACTTCACGTCACGCGGCGTTTTTAATAATAATAATAAGTTGATAACAAGACGTTCATAAATTTTTCTTTTTTTTTTTCGGGGGGAAAGGAGCGAGTAAAGGGGGAGCACGCGCGTTTAAATTATTACCATACGTTAAATAAAATGAATTGTTAACAACAACAACAACAAACGGTTGCCCCCCGAGGGTGTAACAACAAGAAAAAAAAAAATTGTTTGCCCTTTCGAACGGTTCGTAGATTAAAAAAAAAAAATGATGATGATTCGATGTTTTCTTCTCTATCATCATCATCATTATATTGTCTGCTTTTAATTATTATTATTAAAATTCATTAAACCGGTTTAAAAAAGTAAAATGATAAGTTACGCCACTGATTTTTTTAAACGTATCGTTTTATAAATAAATTTTTATCATTATGGGACGAATCCCGGATTTTATTTCGCGCGCAAAACGCGTTGATAATAATTTATAAAAAAAACGAAATGGCGGAGTTTTTTTTTTTAAAAGATGGCGTCTTAAATTATTATCATTATTATTATTAAGTTTCGATTTGATGTCGTACGTACAGGTCGAAGAAAATTTTTTTGGGGAGTTTTTTTTTTTAAATGAGAAAATTCAAATAATCTTTTTTAAATTTTTTTTTTTTTTTTAATAAAAATTATATTAATAAGAATTTATTTACTTAATAAAAATATCCCGGGGAGAAAGAGAGAAAGAGAGAGAGAGAGAGAGTGAAGGGACGTGTGGGGAGGAGGAAGAAAGAATGAAAGAAAGAGAGAGAGCGAGAGCGAAAGGAGAATATAAAGTGGCGATTGAAAATTTATCTAATTTAATTTATTCATTGGTTTTTAATACTTATTGACTTATTAATTTGACGGTTATTGAGAACGAGAAAAAGAGAGAGAGAGCAGGAGTAAGAGTAAAAGAGAGAGAGAGAAAGTAAAAGAGAGATGACTTTAATAAAAATTCTTATTAATGGTGGGCGGGTTTTGTTTTCCTATGGAGATTTTTATTATTTTTTTTTTATGCGTCGTATACGTTTTGTTTTCTCACTCTGTCTCTTTTTCTCTCTTTCTCTTACGTTTTTTATCTCTTTTCGTTTTTTTTTAATTATTATTATTATTTTTTTATCTGAGGTTATTGTCGTTGTTATCGGCGTTCGTGCGGGGTTTACTTTAAATTTTACGTTGGAAAAAAGGAAGAAGAAAAAAAATGGACGCAAAAGGATCAGAAAAAATGTTTAAAGAAAAAAACAAAAGAGTGAAATTAACGAAAAAAGAGACAAAAAAATGAAAGGAAAAAAAGAGAGAGAGAGAATAGAGAGTGAGAAAAAAAAGAAAAATAGAAAAAAATAAAACGAGACAGAGAGAGAGAGAGAGAGTGAGATAGAAGAATTAAAAGAAGAAAATAAAAAAGAGAAAGAAAAGAGAGAAAGAAAAATAGAAAAAGAAGACGATACGAAGAGAAACGTAGAGAGAGAGAGAGAGAAAGAAAGAAAAAGATTTAAATTTCCCTTTTTGACTTTTTTTTCTTTTTTTTTTCCGTCATTTTTCTGGAGAAAAAAAAGAATAATAATAATAATAATTTCGGAATTCTGAAGTTTTATATAAAAAATAAATATTAAACAACAGGTACATAAAAAGGAGAGAAAAAAAAGAAAAAAAGGAAGAAAAAACAGGTGATGAGACCAAAAAAAAAAAAAATTACGCGGCGTTGTAAATATTACGCAGACATGACGTCGACGTCGACGTCATCGACGACGATGACGACGACGACGCGGTTTTCATATATATATATATATATATTTTTGGGAAACCTCTCGAACCAACTTTGATTTATTTTTCCATCATCTTTTTTTTCCATTTTTCCTTTTTTTTTTTTTTTTTTTTTTTTTTTTTTGCTGCGGGGAGCCATTCTGCTTTTTTTTTTCTACAAAACTTTTCAATTTTTTTTTTTTTTTTCACTTATTCCAGCTTTGAGTTTTTTTTTTTTTTAATGGCGCCTTTCAACCATATTCACTTTTTTTTTTTTTTTTTTTACTTACGTTTTTAAAAATGCTTCGTGCTTTTTTCTTTCTTTCTTTCTTTCTTTCTCGTTATTTTTATATTTTGAGCTTTTTCAAAAAAAAAAATAAAAATTTTCTTTTTTTTTTGAAAAGAAATCAATAAGAATTTTTTTTTTTTATCTTCTGCTGTTTTCTTATCATCATTATCATTGATGATTATGATATTTTGCTTGCTTGCTTGCTCGAACAAGAAAATTTTTTTTTTTTTTTCCTGTTTGGAAAGATTTACGTAAGAAGTTTTAACGCAAAGGTTTTTCTCTTTTAAAAAAAATTTTTTTTTTAATGTGAAACAAACGTTTATACGGTACGATACGATCGGTTGTTGTTGTTGTTTGTTAATACGTCATGAAATTATTTTAAAATCACCTTAAGAAAAAAAATAAAGAAAAAAAAAGATTGTCTGGTTTTTAGTGTGTTTTAATTAGCTTCTGGAGTCTTTTTTTTTCTGGGATAAAGAATCGCTTCCAGGGTTTTTTTTTTTCGTTCCCTCTCTCCCACTTTCTTCTTCTCGTTGAGAGAGAGAGAGAGAGAGATGGGGGAGGGGGGAAGGTTAAAATTTACTGACAAGTTGAATAAGTTTTCTAAATGGTGGATTAATTCAGTGTTGAAATCAAAGACATTGTTGCCGGTTTCCCGGTTCTTTTTCATCCTTTTTTGTCCTTTCTCTCTCTCTCTCTCATTTTGTATTTCCGTCTTTTTCAAATTATATATATATATATATATTAATTCTTTCTCTCACTTTCTCACTCTCTCTTTTTTTATTTTTTCTATTTAACTTCGTATTCTCTTTTCAGTTTTTCCCTTTCGTTTCTACTACTATTATTATTATTATTATCATTATTATTAATTTCTCTCTCTGTCTTTCTCTCTCTCTGTCTCTCTCTCTCTCTCTCTCTCTCTCACTCTCTTCTTTTCTCTCGAATTGTGTTTTTCGGGCTATGAAATTTTACTTTTTCAATTTCCTCTTTATAAATATGGGAACAAAAATGGGTTAGGAA